ATATATATATATATATATATATACACACACACCAAGTTGATAAGTGATGCTATTCAATAATGAGAATAAGTTTTAACTCTTAAAAATCATAAAAAGCAAATTAAAAATGAAAAATTATAATACCTGGATTAAAATGATTTTATATCATCACTTAAGTCACTTTAACTCACTCTCAATAGCACAGTGCTATAAGTTGTGAAACAGAAAAAACAATATTCTCAGTTCATCCTCTCTTTTACATATCCTCACCGAACTTTTAAAATGTTTACTATTTTTCCATTCCTATTATATATTCAGCAACAAGGTAATAAACTAAAGTAACAGTGATCCCAAATGATAAAATCTAGTCATTGAAGAGTTTTAGTTGAGTTTTCTATTACAATAACAGCCAAGGAATTCCAACTGATACAGATGCTTAACAAAAATGGCATTTGAAGAGAAAATGAGGAAGGACGATCTAGAATAACAGTCTGCAAAACACACACACACAAAACCAAGTGTCTTCAGTTCAAAAAACCTGTTTTATAATTACACACAGCAGCTCAAATAACAAAGGTCTAGATGCTGTACTAGTAAAATCGAAGGGACGCATCACCATAACATGGCTGAGAGAGATATGTACACAGCCAGCTCAGGGAATACGACTAGAGCCAGAGGTCAAAGATTAAAAGAGACACTGAAAAACAGGAGAGTACAAAAGGAGGGTTACCAGGAGGGTAAAAGATGTCCAGATCACATAATCTGAGGACAGGCTGGAGATGACAAATGCATGGTTTGGCAGAGGACACACTAGAAGGAGCATGATGGCTGTAGTCAAGCTTTCTCCTGGAAAAGGAGACTGATCTTAGTCTCACCACTTCAGAGAAAGTGAAGCAATACTACAGAAGGCAGATCTGGGTGTAAGATAAGCAACTTTCCAACCAATAGAGCAACCTAAATTACATACGTTATCTCCTGAAATAGGGAAATTCATTTTCACTGAGATGAAGTAAAGACCGAGGTACTATCTGTCAGGGACATTCTAGAACAGTATTTCCCAGAGAATATATATACACCATTGGTTGTGTAAGAAGTGATTTTAACTGGTGCATATATTTGTTTTATTCATTACATATTTATCTTAATATATATTAACAACAAATAAATGTACCCACTAGCTATCCCACCCTAGGGTTTCATGAATATTATTGTTTTAGAACAAAGTAACAACCTAAAATTGATTTAAACAAAAACAGTATTAACGTAATTAGATATTATTTTATGATCTTATAGTTACCACCCTAGAATTTATATGGATAATAAAAGGCAGCAAAAAATTAAGAAAAATAACTTCTGCAAGGAAAAATATTTTAAAAATTAAAACTAAAACAGTACATTATATAAAATACATGTGGTGTAAGAAGACGGCAAAAGTCATAAAGGCACCAAAAATGAATTTTGGACATGTTGCTCTGTGGAGATTTATCCTTTCATTGAACATTCTGAAATTAAATTTCCTTCTTTACCAAAGTTGTCTTAGTATTCAGTGATTTTTCTGAAAACATGGCAATTTACAACTACATTTATTCAAATAGCCATCACAACACAACAGAGTAGATAAAATTTTTCATTATTTTCAGTACTAATCTTAGATATATTGATTTTTAATAGCTATAAATATAAAACACTACCCGGTACCCTCACAAAACTAAACTTTTTACCACAAAAGATTATATTCTTACATCTAATAAGAATTTATTGATGCCCTATTATGGTACCGGCACTGTAGCACATAAAAATTCCAAAAGTAAATTTGTAAGTATTCACTTGAAGGATCTACTGCTACCTTGAGGAAATATTTTTAAAATTTAAGGTAAAACACCAAAAGAGAATGTCTTCACCATCATCTTCCTTGAAAATAGTTATGTATTTTAGTATGACTGAAGCCCAAACCATTTCCCATGCTACATATACACAAATAAAATCTAGATTCAGATTTTTCTTTAGTATGCTCCACCTTGTATTTATTACTTGATGCTTCTGCTCAAATATATTCTGAAAATCCTCAGGAATCTGACTAAAGCCTAAGGACTATCTTGTAATGTCTTTGTGTAAAGTTCTCCTGCCTCTATCTTAGGGCACTGCATGGCAGGAACATTCTCATGGCATAAAGAAAGCGATGGGTCTCTTTGGAAGAAAAGATACCACAGTATACTACTACTCAAGGTGTTTTACTACCTAGTGAGTAGCCTGACTTTTTCTTTTCTCTCCCAGCTCCTTAGGCCAAGAGGTGCTTTGTGTTTGAATAATCGAATAATAACTGACTTCTAACATATGCAAGAATCATTAAAATTTCAACACAACCCTGAAAACAGTTCCCCTGTGTCCATTCCCAAATGGATTTCAACCAAAATCTAAAAAGAAAACAATCAGCTCAAAGAGATTCTCTTCCTACCTCCTGAGCGTGTTCTTTATAGACTTGTAGTGGCCCTGTGGCTTTGGCAGTGTCCCAGAGCTGCAGTGAGCCGTCACCACCACAGGTGACAAGGACATGTTCATTGTTCTCACTCCAGGTCACATCAAACAGGCCATCATTCCAGTCAAAGCTACACCGGGATCATTTCAGAAAAAAGTAAATGGCAATCACAATGTTATTATTATTATTATTTTTTTTTTTTTAGTTTACTACATATGTTAACACACATTGTCTCATATGATCTTTACAACAATGGAGGGGAGATAAGTAAAGCAGTATTTTACAGAGGCCAAAACAGAAAGGCTAGAATAGCCCAGGTAATACACATAGAAAACTGCAAAGCTGGATTAAAATTAGGTCTCCCAACTATTAATATTGAACTACTAACATGATGGCATGCTGCCATACCTGAAAGCTTACCACTTTCTGTGACTCATACAATACATAGGCCAGCAAGCCCTTCAAAATACTTAGACTTATTCCAATTTTTCCCATAAATCTTTCACCTGAGCTATATAACACTTGTCCTATAAATCTTTCACCTGAGCTATGAATAGCTAGTTATTTTCTGACAGAATTTACTTTCTTTTTTCAACCTTTAACTAACTTGATGGAAATACTAATGTGTACAACAGCCAGTCACCCAGGGAAGATAGGCAGGTAAAGAAAGGAGAGGAGCTGGCTAATCCACAAGACAGGTACTTAGGTTCTGCATGAGTGAAGCTAAACTATACTATGACAGCAAAGGCAGCCATTGTTACACACATTTAACACATAAGTGTTAATTAGATAACTTTTTAAGTTTAAATCTTACAATTTATAAATGGACTCTAAAAAATAACCTTTAGAGGAAATGTGGCATAATCATAACACAATGGCAAAAAAAATTTTCTATACTGTGCAAATGCTAAAGTTCTTTTTATATTTCAGATTAAAACATTTTATTGACCAAAAAGATTCAAAACTTAATTCTATTAAAGTTTTAATAGCAATAGAAAATATACGGAAGTTTAATAATTAAAGCCATTTTACCTTCTAAAAATGGCAAGCCCAGTTTCATTCTGATCCAATATTAGTAGGGTTCCACAGCCTAAAGAGAAAGACAAAATCGAGGTCATGCTGTTGAACCTTCCAGGGGGAACATCTAAGACCAAAGAAGTACTCTGTCAAGCTCTGAGTACCTGATTTTACTACCACAAATCTCCCCCTAAAGTTACTGGAATCATGTATACAAAACGGTCAGAATTGTGCTGTTTTTTTTTTCATATTGTGCTTCAGCGATTAAATATTCAACTTGCCATCTCCCCCCTGACTGGAATCTGGACACAGCTCTGACAGAAGGGCAAGATGTCCACGTGCCTACTCTGACCAGCCAAGACTCCAGGCACCCAGACTGGCCAAGCTGGAGTTACACGGTTCCTAGTGACAGATGACAAATCTCAGGCTTAGAGACCCCTGGATCATGCTCCTCCTACTCTCACTCGGCTTTGGCAATAAATGTAAAATATATCCCACATGGAATTTTAAATGTATAACTGTGGAAATACCAAATACTTGGTGAAGGGCTGAAAACCATAATATCTTGTCTAATATGATTTTACTACACAAGTAATGTCCTTTAAAAGATACATTTATCTTTACAGAGATCAAGGGGGAAGTTATTTAAACATGACTGGCTGGTTTTTCAAATACCAATTCCTTTGAAGGAGTTGTTGCAAAACATTTAAAGCAACGTTACAAATTTCTGAGTTTTCAATCTAACTGGTGGGCAAGGATTGTAAATATGAATATATCACCACTAAATAATGGTGATGGTAAAGCATTTCCCTCTGAGTTTTATTAATCACTTCATTTTTTTTTCTACTGTAGGACTGAAGAAAAAAAAAAAAACAGATCGCTGACATTATGTAATGACTCGCTGCACTGCTCCGGTGTGAAAACAATAGCTGGGACTTGAATTGTGTAAATAACAGCTAAGTCGTGAATTAAAAGAAAGCAAAATCGAGAATGGGCCCGCGCCCTTCCATTTAGTCCGCGGCCAGACAACTGCTTTCAATGCGATATGTATGTACAGCCCAATCCCCCACGATGAATGTATTTACTATGTATTGCAAACCTATACTAATAACAAATTTTTAAAAAAACAATTGCTTTCAAATGTATACATTCCCCGGGAGACAAAAGGCGAGGACATATTTCATACAGTAATATCTCATGAGGGCACTGGCCGGGAAACGATCCACACGTTTCCGCTCTGTGCCCGAAAGCCAACAGCGAGGCACGGTGAGATAGCTCTGCGTAGGCACCAGGATGACCAGGCCAGGGTCCTGCAAACAGAGTCAGACCGTCGGGCTGGCGCACAGGTTCACCCTGCGATCTGCACGGGGCGTTTCTGCACCGGAGACAGTGCGGTCTTCAGAAACAAGGACCTGGGTACTAAGCCTCTTCCACACGTAAACTGGCAAAGAACCGGACAGCATCCCCCGACCAGCACACCATTCTGGGCGCTGAGGAAAGAGGAGCCCGCGCCCCACACCTCCTCTCGCGGCCCTGCCCACCCGGGGGCCCCGCCCACTCGGCGGCGTTCCTGCGAGTCCCCGCCCCGGCAGCGCGATCCGGCCTCACCCGCGATGCCGTAGTGCTGCGCGGTAGCGCAGGCCAAGCGGCCAGGCAGGTACGGCGAGAACTCGGCCGCGTAGCCGTGGCGGCCTGGTACCCTCAGTGTCCGCGCAGCGCTCATTGCCCCTGCCGCCTCCGGTCTCACCGCCCTGGCCACAAAAATTGCCCGAGTAGGAGGCCTACGGTGGCGACTCGTGACAGAAGTTAGAGGTCCAGAAAGAGCGAACGGAAGTGAGAGCGCCCATGTCCTGAGTCGTAGTGTCCGATTGGCCCGGAGCGGAAAGGGCGTTGACGCTGATGGAGACCATTTTTGTTTTGGGCAAAGCAAAATTGATTTCCGCCAGTTGAAGTGATCAATAATTAAATCCAACTGGGGAGTGAGCTGGGGTTAGGTGCTAATTTCGAAAATTTTTGTTGTTACATCTCAGCCTCCACTGCAGGACTAACTGATTTTTATTCTTTGAACTTTTGAAAGACTGACATTAGGAAATTTTCCTCTAGGTACTGCAAACTTCGAAACCATTTAGCCAGTCAGAAAGACAGTTGAGTCCCGTGTTCCCCTTGATACAGTGGACCCTCCAGTTACGACCAGCCTGACATACGAACAATTTGGGTTGATCAGTGGAAGATTCATCTGCCTTTTGTTATCTATAGTGTGTACCCAGGTAAACATCCAGGTATCAGCTGTATTGACTTAGTCACAACCAGCCCACGGGAACCAGTCAAGTTCATAAGGGTCCACTGTAACTTAAAGCAATGTTAAATCAGGCAACAGTGAAGCTAAGAGAGAATGAGATTTGTCATTGGCATCTAGCTTGAAAAAAAATATATATATATATATATATATATGTGTAGATTGGAGGGGAGGGTTGGTACTGGAATTGGAACCCAGTGGTGCTCTACAACTGAGCTACATCCTCAAGCCTTTTTTGTTTTTATTTTGAGATTAGGTTTCCCAGACTGGGCTCAAAATTCAGATCTTCCTGCCTCAATCTTCAGATTACAGGTGTCTGCCATCTCACCCAGCTTTGTAATAAATATGTATAGTGCAGTAATAAGTACTCAGATCCTAGGACTAATTAAGGCCTCTTTTTTTTTCAGTACTGGGAATTAAACTCAGGGCCTCATACATTCTAGGCAAGCTCTCTACCACTGAACTACATCCCCAACCTTTAATTCATTCTTTCAAATACTTGTGAAGCATGGAGAATACCATATAATTTATCCGCCAAGTAAACACTTGTAAAAGATGGTGTAGTTAACAATTAAGACAGGTTAACAGGCACAAACCAAGTCTCATGATCACTTTACACACGAATCACAGTGCTAAGCTCTTAAAATTCAAAAGCAGTAAGATATTGTCCGTGGCCTCAAGATATTAGAGTCTTGTAAAGAGAAGATATGTAAACAATAAAGGATAATCAAAATACTATAGATGCTATGAGAAGTATATGGTATTTAAAAAAGGAAATCTTCAGTGCTAGAGTTGGGGACGGCAGGAAAAGCTTCAGAAAAAAAGGTGGTCTTTGTGGTGAATGCATAGAGATGAATAGATTTTTATAGATTTTTTAAAATAAATTTTGGGAGCAGGAGTAACATGAGCAACTCAGGAGACCTAAACCAGCATGATCCACTAGGAATCACCACTGCCAGGACTCAGCACAACCAGATGGAGGAGGTGTGGGGAAGAGAATTTTGAGGGCAGAGAGTAGAGTTGTGCTGTGGCTGAGATCATCAAGAGTTCTATGCTATCCCAAAGAGATTGGATTTCTACTGTAATTGAAAGGTCTGCAGATTAGAAATTGGAGATGGCTTAGAGGTGTTAGTTATAGTTCAAGCAAAAGATGATTAGAACTTGAAAAAAAATCCTGTGTTCAAGAATTATGGTAATGAAAGTGGAAAGTAAGATTCAGGTCAAATTTTTTAAGCTGTTACTCATAATACATAGTATGCAAGGAAGAGAGAGGAATCTAAATGACCCTTAGGTGTCTAACTTAGGCATCTGCATAGATACAGGAACTGTTCACTGAAATGAGGACTCTTGGGGGAGGACCAAGTCTGAGGATAAAGTGAGCTCCAGTTTAATGTTGAATATGGATTTCTTTTAGGCTCTTTTTTGGATATACCTGTTCAGTACAGAGTTTGTGACTGCTTTTACTCAAAGAGAGTGTGAAAAGGGAAGAGAGCTAAACAGAACTGTGGAGGTAATGTCAGCATGCAAGCCCTGCCAAACAAGAAGAGCTAGGGAAATGGAGAGACCCACATGGTGGATCCAATCAATTCATCTATTAATCTGTTTAAGAATATAGCTCATGTTGGGAGGGTTTGCATACAACTGATGAATACTTAGATGGACAAGTTAGTGGGTGGATCCTTTTGAGGCAAATGACTCAACAGAGTTTTTAAACTGTGAAAACACATCTATTTTAGTGCTTGCTGCCTGTTACAGTGCTTGGTGCAAAGTAAAATGTATCAGTCAGGTTTGCTGTTGCTGGTAGAAAATACCAGACACCTGCAACTTAAAGGAGGAAAGGTTTAATTTAGCTCATGGTATCAGAGGGTTCAGTTCATGGTCAGCTGGATCTAAAGCAGAACTATTGCAGCAGAAAACAATGATCAAGCAAAGCTGCTCACTTCATGGCAGCCATGAAGCAGGGTGGATTGGAAAGAGCACCAGAGAAGAAAGGACTAGGAACTAGACATAGTGTGCAAATTCATGCCTCTGTGACCCACCCAGACACACCCTGAAATGTGCTTTTCTAATCTGCTAGGCATTTGAATCCCTTTAGGTTGACAATCATGGTTGACAGTCACATATATAAACCAAAAAAAGAAAAGAAAAAACAACCATTAGCTGGACATGGTGGCACATGCCCATAATCCCAGCACTCTGGGAAGCTGAAGTAGAAGATCACAAATTCAAGCTCAGCCTAGGCAAATTAGTGACTTAACATTACCCTATCTCAAAATAGAAAAAGGACTGTGGCTGTAGCTCAGTGGTAGAACACTTGCCTAGCCGTGTACAAGGCTCTGGGTTCAATTCCCAGTACTGAAGAGAGAGGGGGAAAAAGGCAGCCATGACTATGATAGCCAGTAAAATTTTATTAGCACAAACTCAAGTATGCAAAAAAAGGAGGCTTTGCTTTTTTTTTTTTTTTTTTTGCTAGGAAGCTTAAATACCCAATCTGCAGGCCTGTTAGAAAATCCAGCCTCATCTTGTTTGGAGCTTCCTGTTATTCATGAGGGTCACATTAGAATCTGACAGTAAAGATTCCCAAAGGCAGAATCAGAGTTTTTTTCACTCTCCAGGGCCTAACACAGTGTCTGGAAAATGGTGAAGCATTTTCTAATCTTTAGTTAGCTCCCCAAAATGGGCATGTGAATATGCATTTGCTTGTTATGTTTGCCTCTAGGCAAAGTTAAACCCTCCTTGAGGAAATAAACTCCCACTTATCTTGGGGCTCCATGAAACCCTTCCTGTCAAAGGGCAGGGTCACATCACTGTCACTTCTCCATGCTTTTGAGTTCAACTCCTTCCCCATCTGTTAATGGTAAGGGTCTAGATATCCTCCCAAAGCCTCAAGTGTTGACAGACTTGCTCTAGAGTATGTGAAGCTGGAATTGACTCACAGTGCAATGCTAGGCTCAAGGGCACACAGATTAAGGGCGTGAGTGCTACCCACTCTGCTGCCAAGGCCCCGCATGGCTGAAGGGGGTGAAGCGGAGGTGGGAAATTAAGAAAGACAAAGAGATATAAGGTATAGGTGGGGCCAAGTGGGGCTTGAACTCCTGATGGGAGAAAAAGACCACCAAGCAACTGCAGCCCATTTATTTATAGTGGTGGAGATAAGGGACATGTGGGGGAGGGGGACGGGTAAAAGGGGCTGGTCTATAACCCGAGCCAGGAGAGTAGCTAAGATCTACAGGATTTCCTGCTTGATGTTTCTCTGCCGAATGGGCAGGAAGAAATACAGTCCTCTTCTTGGCCAGGCCTTGCTCCACCGCTCCCTTTTGACACCTGTTCTCCGGGGCCCTGCCTCATCTGTGCAAGGAGGTGAGTTAGGCCTGGCCATAGTGATCTACAGCACAGTGCTCCCAGCAAGACGCTATTAAGGCTCCCTTGTTACCTTTGCTACCTTGTGTGCGCCATGTTTCTGCTCTGTCATGCCTGTTTGTCATCCCTGCCTTGGAGTCTGCCAATTATGGACTGAAACTTCTAGGAACTATAAGCCAAATGAACTCCTTCCCTTTTAACTTTGGGTGTCAGGTATTTTGTCACAGCAACGAGAGAAAAGTAACACACCATCACTGCTGTCACATGATCATCTCTTGCCTCTCTATCCCCAAGGACATGTCAAAACTCCCATGGCTGAGTTTAGGCTTTCACCAACAGTTCTCAGAAGCTTCTATGCCAGTCAGTCAGATCACAAAGAGCCTTCCTATCTAATTGGAATGGATAGAGGAAAACAAACAAAAACTACAGCAAAACACAAATTACTCAATAGACAATAATAAATGACATCAAACAATCCTTAATTCATAACAACTGACAGTAAGGTGTAGACATGTAGAGGCAGACAGCCTAGGTATATGCACTCCTCACCCCCAAACCACACAAGCACCAAACTCTTACTATCCCATGGACCTGAAATGGAATATGTATGCCTCCTTACCTAGGCAACATTCCTCATATTTCAGATCCCCACCTCAGGAGTTTTTTTTTTAATGGGCATTGAACTCTAGGTTTTTGCACTGAGCTACATCCATAGCCTTTTTACTATTTTTGAGACAGGGTCTCATTGTGTTGCTAAATTACCCAAGCTGTGATCAATTTCGCAATCCTCCTGCCTCAGCCTCCCAGAGAGCTGG